TTGCTATAATCATTGACATGTAATATAGAGTTGTACCTACTGTTACTATAATCATTGACATGTAATATAGAGTTGTACCTACTGTTACTATAATCATTGACATGTAATATAGAGTTGTACCTACTGTTACTATAATCATTGACATGTAATATAGAGTGGTAGCTACTGTTACTATAATCATTGACATGTAATATAGAGTGGTAGCTACTGTTACTATAATCATTGACATGTAATATAGAGTTGTAGCTACTGTTACTATAATCATTGACATGTAATATAGAGTGGTAGCTACTGTTACTACAATCATTGACATGTAATATAGAGTGGTAGCTACTGTTACTATAATCATTGACATGTAATATAGAGTAGCAGCTACTGTTTCTTTAATCATTGACATGTAATATAGAGTGGTAGCTACTGTTACTATAATCATTGACATGTAATATAGAGTGGTAGCTACTGTTACTATAATCATTGACATGTAATATAGAGTGGTAGCTACTGTTACTAGAATCATTGACATGTAATATAGAGTGGTAGCTACTGTTACTATAATCATTGACATGTAATATAGAGTTGTACCTACTGTTACTATAATCATTGACATGTAATATAGAGTGGTAGCTACTGTTACTATAATCATTGACATGTAATATAGAGTGGTAGCTACTGTTACTATAATCATTGACATGTAATATAGAGTGGTAGCTACTGTTACTATAATCATTGACATGTAATATAGAGTGGTAGCTACTGTTACTATAATCATTGACATGTAATATAGAGTGGTAGCTACTGTTACTATAATCATTGACATGTAATATAGAGTGGTAGCTACTGTTACTATAATCATTGACATGTAATATAGAGTGGTAGCTACTGTTACTATAATCATTGACATGTAATATAGAGTGGTAGCTACTGTTACTATAATCATTGACATGTAATATAGAGTGGTAGCTACTGTTACTATGATCATTGACATGTAATATAGAGTGATAGCTACTGTTACTACAATCATTGACATGTAATATAGAGTGATAGCTACTGTTACTATAATCATTGACATGTAATATAGAGTAGTAGCTACTGTTACTATAATCATTGACTTGTAATATAGAGTGGTAGCTACTGTTACTATAATCTTTGACATGTAATATAGAGTAGCAGC